TAAGATGACCCTAACCCTAAAGTTAATTCAATAAAATATATATTATAAGAATCTGCTCCGCTTTAGACGTCCCCCTTATTTGGGACGGTCCCTCCTGTTAACCGAAACAAAAAGAATCACTTGATCTGCATTTCTATACCATAAAAATGACCATTTTTGGTAATGTGCCCGACTGCACTATGCGACAATTATTCTTACAACTAATAACATGCTAAATTGTCGCATAGTGTAATTACCTTTTTACGTAATAACGATGAGGTCATGAGCGGGTCTGGATCTATCCAATCAAATATGGGCTGGATTTGGTTCTATATATTTTTGCTTGGTCTGGATCTGGACTCGAAATATCCAGCCCGGTCCATGCAAATAAATTATCACATGCTTATTGTACTAATTTGATTGGTTAGCGATTTTTGATATTAGATAATCAATCAACGATTTAAAAAAATCGATTAGTTAACGATTTTGAATCACTATTTGGTACCTTGTGGCAAGTCAAAGTGTTTGGGTTGCTGGGTGTGCATAGTTGTAGGGTTGAAACTTAAAAGAATACACCACCAAAGGTGAAGCCTATGGCTTAATTTGACTCAACACGGAAAAACTCCCCGGATCTAATTATATTAGGTTTTGTTCTATAGTAAATGGTAGTGTGCATGTTCATTTTTAGTTTTTAGAGTAACTTGTCTGGTCATTTCCAATGATAAATAAGATTTTAAATTTCTAAATAGTTAAGTTATTCTTTGAATGATTGATAACCTCTATTGGGGGAAGTTTGGTCCCTTGGATTTTCTGGAGTATATTTCTTTTACGGAAGGTATGGATAATCTTATGAAACTTATCATGATGGGGATAATACATCGCAATTATTACTCTTTAACAAGGAATTTCTAGTGGATATGGGCGATCGGCCCATACACGTCGTCCATCTCCAATTGATAGATGAAAACCTTCATGGGTATCCTTATGTTAAAAAATTGGACATTTAGAGAAATTAAATTCTTAAAAGATTTTCATAAGTGAACTCATGAAAGAATCGTTAGAAACGTTGAGAGATTTGTATTTCTTGTATTCAAAAGCTAATTCTTTAAAACCTAATCTTTAGATCAAATAAAACAATGTATCTTTTGGCTTTTGTATCGATTAAGAACGCAGCGAAATATGATAAGTAATGTGAATTGCAGAACTCCGTGAATCATCAAATTTTTGAATACAAATTGCACTCCTTAGTACTTCGAGAGAATATCAGTCAAAAAAAAAAAAAATCGTACATCTCTTTGCAGATCTGGGTATCCGATTTTTAAGTCAGTTACCAAAATTAAAAAATTTATGTAGTGTGAAGTATTACTTTACTTTATTACGCTATCTCCAAATATTTAGTCGGTGGTGTATGAAATCGAAAAAATGACTTCAATTCATGTGAGAGTATCCGCTCAACTTAAGTATATCAGCAAGTGGAGGAAAAACTAACAAGGGTTTCTCTAGTAACAGTGAGTAAAACAAAAATCAAATTCACCTAACTTTTCTAAACTTTTGACATTCCAAGTTGTACTATATGTATTTATTTATATATGAAACTTCCCACTTTTTTCTAACAGAAAGAACGGCAAAATTTCTATCTTTGTATATAAACAAAAAAATAAAAAACTTTATATGACAACCTTATGAGTAATAAATCAACTTCTGGAAGTAGGGATGGATCAGTCCGGTCCTAATAAGACTGGTCCATTAATGTTTTATGGTCCGGTCTCGGTCCCAAAAGCAGTCCCGACCTCTAATGATTCTATTGGCTAGCGGAGAAAATTAAATTAAATAAGATCGGTAATTGAAATAAGGATTGTCTAAAATAATTTTAATTAGCTATTAATGAAGACTGATCTCAGGACCGGGGACAGGTTAACAATAAAACCGGTTAAAAAGACTGGTCCTTATTCAGTCTTTCCAATCCCTATCTGGAAGCTATATAGGCCACAAGATGACGCAAATGTAAATGATACTGGTGTATGATAAATCTTCATCCATGAAAAAAGAATTTTCTTCAACAATTTCACAGAAAGAACGTCGAAGAATGGAATAATAACAACGATTACTTTTGGTTCAAATACAAGAACGTAGTGATAGTGACGATGATGATGATTTTAATTCTATCCATGATTCTTCAATACTCTTTTTGATTTCTTCTTACGCTAGTGAATATATTGATATTCAGCGTGATTCCTTTAAAGATCTAATTTCTTTGGAATAACATATCATGAAGGGTGAGAATTTAGTGTATACCAAGTACTGGGATGATTAATACATTTTTCTATGAGTTATGTTGTTTGGCAGGGTTGGCATGAATGGAATTTGGACAATGGAATGGCTGATGTCCGAATTGTCCAATCAAAAGCAATGGATATTAGATTGGATATCATTCTTGGATATCTTTATGTCAGGATCTTTCACATAGATCCAAACTAATTAAACCCAATTGTATGTTGTGGGATAGAGTTTCAACATTCAGGTCAAGCAGCAACTTTCTAGATGCGATTTTTTTATCAAAATAATGCACAGCAATTATTAACTATTAATAATGCGAATAAAGATACTACTGAAATTGCTCAGGTATCTATCGTAATTTCCTAATAATTGTAGTGATGTTCGATTGTTAAGATAGGTCAAAATGATAGTTCATAAATGTTATTGAAAATTCTGCAAATATCAGTTTCATCTATCGCTTAATGGCCAATCCGGTTAAGAAAAACTGTTTCAGAAACACTCTAGTCCATAACCCTATATCCTGATGACCTTCGCTTTGGATCACTATTTACTATTGGACATTACCAGATATTGAAAAGTTGTCCGAATTGTCTCGTGTAATATTATTGTCGATAACAACCGTACCTCATCGGACATAGAACAATTAGGAAATGTCTAATGTCTGGTAAACAGGGTTGGCATGAATGGAATTCGGACGATGGAAACCTGTCCGATGTCCAGTGTCTGAATTGTCCAATCAAAAGCGATGAACGTTGAATTGGGCATAGAATAACTTCTCGCGATTGATTGGTCGCGTAAAATTGTGTTCCCAAGCACTTCACCCAACAGATTGAGTCATTTTAATGATTAAAAATTGGGAATTAATATAGTTAATCGAAAAATGACTTGTTAAAAAAAATTAATGTCGCAGCTGATGCTGAAAACGGCTGATGCTGAAATTTGGGGTCTCGATTTAAAAATATAAGCCCTACTAAAAT